ATCACCTTCATTACTAGACATGCTGCAAATGTTTATTCATAAGGAAGCACACAGGGAGATTTAAATAAATACTATTCTATTCACAGTGGTAGTTCATAGCTGTACAGATTTTTTTTTTCACCTCAGTGGTTTGCCATTGCCTCCTTCCTAGGCTGAGAGAGAGTAACTAGCCCAAGGTCATCCAGCTGGCTTCGTGCCTAAGGCAGGACTAGAACTCACAATCCCCTAGTTTCTAGCCTGGTGCCTTAACCACTAAACCAAACTGGCTTATGCAGAAATACCAACACAGTACAGACAGGAGGAAATTCCTACATCTCTCTCTAATATGATTATCTAAAGTCACTACTTGTTATCCATCCAAGGTCAGAAGTGTTACCTACATCTGTGAAGTTGACTAAGTATTGGGACTGGTATGTGTCAGCCCCACTAGGTAGACCAGACCAGGAAATCAATTCCACAGGAAAGCTAAAACTACTTTTATAGATTTTGGCTAAAATAACAGAATCTTGCAAGTCTGATTCTATTGTATCTCCTCTTCCTTCTTATAGTTCAGTGAATTAGGGAGGCATCTGCTCAAGCTGTTTCTGGATGTTATCCCATTCTGGACTTCAAATATGCTTTATCCCCTTTCTCCTAGGGAATTGTTATCCTGCATATCTCCGTCAAGGCCATTTTCCATAGTCTCTACAGTATGCAAGCAAGATCTTTTAACTAAAGAATATTTAAAAACTACACATCCCAGAATACATATTCACCTCAAAAATGGAAACCACTAACAAGTCTCAAAGAAAGGCACTAGAGTTTATTGAGGAAAAGCACAATAAAGTATATCAGCTCAGCTCAGCTCAGCGTTGATTGCCCAAGCTCACAGTTTCCCACTGAGAGACTTCTGTTAGTGGTGGAAAAACGAAGCTCAAAATGAGCTTTCCCCCTGCTTCTCTTTCTGGCTGGCCAAAATATCAGTGTTTAATACTGTGTCTGCCCAATGAGAATTATTCAGAGGCACTCCTAATTCATGAGCAGGAGCAGACTTTTTGTGAATTTGCCCTGAATGAGGGGATGAATTAAGCTGATTATATATGTTATCCAATCAACATTTCAGCAGGATGTCTATGTACTTACTCCATCTTCCCACAATGGAAATTTTATTCCTATAGGCCTCATTACACTTAAACAAAATATCATATATGCAAATTGGGGATGGGTGGAAGAAAATATTCCTTTTAAGCGTTTCTTTTTCCTAATTCCACATCTCCTTGAATACCTGCCATGTTATGAAGGCTTTCTTCCTGTATAAACCTATAATGGTGCCATACTGGGATTTTAGGGGTAAGAATTTCTCAAGATGAAGGGATTACTGATCAAATAGAGGGCTTCATTACAATGTGCAAATCGATCTTTTTCAGATATATATCAGATTAATTTGAGTTTCTTTCTTTTTGACTTTGATGTCAACACTTCTCAGATAGGAACTTGCTCAGAAGCTATTGGGGAAAATAGGAGGAGAATTCAAAACTCTGCCAAAGTTGGAGTTGTGGAAAGCCACAACATTCTATGACTTCAAAAATGTAAATGAATAAAAAAGAGGTTGGGTGGCATGAATAAACAAATTCAAGTAATATTTCTCTTTTAGATCATACCAATGCATCTTTTTCTTTGGAATTCCTGTTTTACATAATATAAAGCAACTATATAGAACAAGTTATTTTTTCTTATTATGTTCTTAAAAATAAACACTTACATGCATATATTAGCCTTGTTTAAAATGTTATAAAATATCTTACCCACCGGAGCTGTCCATCACTGGTCAGCTGCCTGTAGAAGCCTCGAAAATCACTGATTATGTCATCCAAATCCTTATTGATTACATGAACTGACAGTGCATGGACTGCACTGATAACTGAAAGAAATAACCAACACAGGAGATTTTTTAAAATGCAGTATTATCTATTTATTTAGAATTTGGTGGCCCATGGGAAAAATAGTTTAAAATATACAAACAACAAATAATCTTTTGTAATTTAAGAAACTCTAGTTATTGGGTATATAATATATACATACCCAAGTAATACATACACAAGTTTGGCCACAGATTTTGCCTCTCTTTCTAGAAAAACAGAAATTCCAAGTCAGGACTGAACAGGGATTTTGGTCAGAATAGAGAATAATGTGTTGACATTTGCTGCTGCTTTTGTGATTTGATGCTTTGGCAGATGTTACTGCCATATTCCCGTTTTTTATTTTTTTTTATGTTCTGCTTTCCTCTATGTAGGTTTTAATGCTACAGTTAATACTGTTTTATTTCATAGTATGTTCTAACATAGTATATCGCTCAAAAAATCCTGTCACTGAGCAATATAAAAGTACAATAATTAAATTTTGCATTATTTCTAAAAACACAGTAAGTTATGGAAGACAATCAGGATGATTAAACTGCCTTTAAAATTTGGATTTTCTTAGTGACAATTTTGATTATGGCATACTGCCTTCTTACTGATACAATGTTATTACATATTCTATTTTCCTGTTCTGTCTACAAGATGTTTACAAGTTTCATTCCAAAAGGCTTTTTAAATTCCTTTTTTCTAAGAGGTTTTTAAATTATCTGAAATATTCTGCCTTAATTCTGTTTTTAAAGTGGGGTAATTCATGTACTGTAGTCTCAAATAAAGTGAATCTAAGAGATAGGAAAGTAAAGTGCAATTTACTTTTAACAGGAATAAAAAGAGAGTTGCACTATCATGCTTCACAATGTGTATACTGGATCAGAGAGGAGGCCACAATCAAAAGAAGCTGTGGGTGACTGAGAGGTAACTATGGTTAGTAATTGGCAGATGCTAAGAAGCAAAAAGTATTCAAAATGAATCCCCAAGAAAATTATAGCTGATTATGTAAGTATTAAATAAAAATCATTTTATATAAAAATGCTGGTTGTTGTGTTGTTAAGTCGTGTCCGACTCTTCGTGACCCCAAAAATGCTGGTATATAAAATAAATGCATGAGCTGATCAAAATGGGTTTACTTCTCACTTATTCCTTGAACAATGAAGGCTGGTAATGAAGAACATAGCAAAGTTGTTTTTGAAAAATAAAGAAACCAGAGGCATCTTAAACAAAATGTAAAGTTATATATTTATACTGCCATTTTTCTAAGCACATGCAATTTGTCTTTAAGGCATATTTAATAAACATCAGATGTGGAAGGAAAGGAGAGCTTGTTTTAAGGACTGCAATTCCAGTACTGGAATATGTTGTAATGGAGAGAAGGTAAGCAACAAGTAGGTCAGGTAAATTCAACCATTACACTCTTAAGACACGCAAACACAAATCTACAAATGTTGATTGCTTACACAAGTTATAACATGGTTTATCATACTTACTGCCAAACCAAAAAGGTATGATCATATTGTCAATTTGGGCTTCTTAAAGAAATAATGACATAATATGTTTTATTTAAACCAGCCTTTGAAGTTGTAATGGAAACATATCAGAAAAGTCTGTTCTGAAGGGGGTTATTTCCCAAAAGGAAGCAAGGAGTTATTTAGTGAAAAATTCTCAAGGCATGTGAGGCCAACCCTGGGATAGCGTCATAACTTACCCACTTCTGTGCCTTTTCCCAGCGTAAATGTAAAGCCACAACCTTTGAAGCCATCGGGAGCATCCGTTTCTATTACAACGTAGGCTGCGGAATAGTCTGGATCTGGGTGCTAAACAGAGGAGTAAACAAACCTCGATACTAGGAAAGCAGCGCAACACCCACAGTGCGTGACACTACCGAAAATTTGCGTGGCGTCCAATTGCAAATTGTCTTGAGTCGAAATCGCAGGAGTCTAACAAACGGAACTTGCCTCGAGTTAACTTCCAGGCAAGCAGGCCGCAATCTTGCGAAAAGGCAGCCTGAGCTCCGTTTGACTTGGGGAAAGCACTTAAAAAGCCTGTCTGGGCAAGAGGGAACAGGACGGGGTAACGCTCTGCGAGAGCGAAACTGCTGCTTGGCGCCCTTGCACCTGAGGCCGGTCTGCTTGCCCTCCCGACGTCCACGCCGTCGCTCTGCCAAGAGCCGCTGCGCTTACCATGGCATCTGAGCCGTGGTGGGCCAGAGACGTGGGGAAGCGGACGTCGCTCACGGCCAGACCCCTGATCCTCCCTCTCCCCATCCCGCAGGCAGGGCTCGGCTCTCGAGGAAGCAGGACGGCGACTCTCGCGCTCGAGAATTACTCTTAGGCGCTGATTGGCCCGCAGGAAGGGCGGGGCGCCCCGAGCGAAGCGGGAGAGGGGAGGGCACCGCGGGAAGGGGCGCTCGCCTGCCGGCGGCGTGTCGGGCTTTCTACTCCCAAGTCAGAGAGATTGAACTTCAAGGTGACCCCCCCTTCCTTTCAGAAGGTCCGCCTCAGGTTCATAGGAACGAGCATCGCCAGAAGGACCTCCTTACTATTACTAATCCTTTTTCTGAGGGTTTCGCTGAGATAAACTTGCAGAATGTGATGTACTCCACTGTTAAAATAACTTATAGGTTAATTTTTGGCTTAATTTTATTTCATAGGAATGTACACATACTAGCATGCCACCATTCTGTCAATTAAATATTACTTTACTTTTAGAACTGGGTCAATTCATAAGTTATATATGAATTAACTTAGTCTATGCAATTAGGTTAAATTTGGGTTTAATTTTATTGCATAATGATAGTATGCATACTAGCATAATACCATTCTGTGAATTGGTGGTGTAAGTATATTTTAGAATTTTAAAATGTTGAAACTTTTGTGAGGACAAGTGTCCTGAATAGTAGTTTCTATTTCACATCCAATACTGATTTTGGGCTCCATATCAAATTTAGAGGGATGCTAGAATTTAACGTGTCATGCTGAAAAGAAAATGTTGAAGATGCACTTATATGAAAAGAATTGAAGAAAAGCTAATCTGTTTAAATTCCCACGCAATATTAATACATTTTTCTGTTTTAGTAACAGAAGATGCACTTAACATGATCAAGCTTTGGGAAGTTTAATTATGCAAAAGTAATAAAATATTAAAAATATTTAAGCTTGTCAATATAACATGATAGGAAAACCAAACAAAAGATTACCACACAAGCTTCAACAAAACTGATACACAAGGCTTGCACTACAGTTTCTATCAGAAATGTTACACAATTGTTTTCAATACAATATAAAAATCATTCTTAACTGATTAACAATGATTACAGTACAGGAAGTGCTGAAAATGCAATAAACATAAGAGTGGAAAATGTAAAAATTTGCATTATTTGATATTTTGAAAATTGTTCTAGTACAGTAATTTACCTTTTTAACATACAGCGCCACTTCTGGACACTGGAGATGCTGGGTCAGACTGTACAGTATTGACAGAAAAATAAGATGGTGCAGGAGGCATGGAATAAAATTAACAAAAAATAATCTGAGGTTATATTAGACTTTCCCATTGAAAGTTCCAATGAAACTAGAAGGAGCCATACCAGAAAATGGTGGTATCCTTTATTTCCAACTGAAATTGTGCTTATTGCTCCAAGTCCAACAAAGGACAATTAATTTAGTAGAAAAATTACCACCCGGCTATGAGGGGGGCTACTGTATTTTCCACACGATTAACCAACATAGCACATAGTTTAGGAAAAGATGAAATTCCAAGATCTGCACTTGGAATTACTATGCAGTAACCCTGTTATAGTCAGCTCCTTCCCATCCCTACCTTTCACATGTCTTCAGGATTGGGGAAACACACATCATCTCCTTCCGATTTTTTTGGGGGGGGGGCTGAGGGCTCATGAGGGGGAGTATCTACCAATATTTCTAAATGGAGATGCTTAATCCCAAAGACTGAGATGTATACCTATCAATTGTGTTTATAAAGTAACAAAGTGTGTCATGCACTTTTATAATGTTAATATAGCAAAGTGCCTTATGGACATGTAATGATTTAATGGAAGATGGAATAACTGAGTGCATTTTAAAGGAATAATGTAACTGTCTGAAATAGCATTCCAGTTTCATACACAGTGAAAAGTGATTTACTGGGAATGAACAAGTGTGCTCGTGCGCACAGTCTGTCTGGTTTAGCTCCTTCTGCTAGCAGATACCAGTTAAACAAATCAGGAAGCTTTCATCATGATTTATTTGCTTCTAGACCAGGATCTTTGGCTGCTTTATGTCCTCACCAGCCAAAAACTGATTAATTACTTAACTGAAATGAAAGTCAGGAATAATTTCTGGGTTCAATTTCTTTCTTCTTGATTTGGGATCCCTAGCTAACAAGGCTAAATAAATCAGGAATGGAAGTTTCTGGATTTGCTTAACTTATGCTGACAGAAGTGTAAGTAACCATGCAATAATAAAAGCATGCTTGCTTTGGCTTATTTTGATATGCAAACCTATCCAGAGAAAGAACTAAAACAATTTCTAATGCTTCTAGGGCAAGAAAAAAGGCCTTAAAAGTACATCATGGCAGCTACAAGATGATGTATTCTGTAGACTGCCGAAATCTGCTAATGAATACAAAATAAAACAACATATTTCAGATTATCCTCTAAAGATCAAGAATTATAAAAAGAAATAAAGCAGCGCTATGCACGTCAACTTGGAAGTCTCAGTCAGTTAAACTTAGTCAATTAAACTTAATCCCCGATAAGTATATATAGGATTGTTTCATTTCAAAGCAACTTGGAATTTACCAGGTTATTTTCTTAAAAAATAATTTTGTAATTAGGACTTTAAAATTAATCTCATGAAACAAATTCAACATCATGCTTTATAAAAAATAATCACACTTTTACATGTATTACTATATAGAAAAGTGTTATGTTGAATTATTTGCTCACATTAAAATCTTGAGGTAATACACTATAAAACAAGAAAAAACACATGGAAGGATAACTTTTAAAAATACATATTTTTCTTCAATAAACTCATTAAATTACTGTTTTTTTTTAAATTTCCTTACTATACATTTGTTACAATGATTTGTTCCATTTTTAATTAAAATCCAAATAACACCAGACTAGTTTTCTGGCATATGCATATTACATAAACACAACTGCACTAACCATTTTAGAATATAAAAGGAATTAAAATCCTGTAATATTTGCTACATAGAGCCCTTTAAAAATTTCATAGTTAGGGATATAAATGAGAAAAGAAAATGCCACTTGATTGCACAATTTTATAAGTTTGTATTTGTTTCACCAGAACTAAATCTGTATGATTTTTCTGATAAGAACAGTAATGATAATTTTCACAGAAAAGCTTTGAAGTGCAAAATTGGTTCTGAGTGGAAAATTCTAAAATGCCAAGATGATTTTATTGCTTGATATGACAGAGGTTATGATATCTCCTACTCCCCAATATACTTGTGAGCAGTATATGTGTGCAGTTTTAATTAATATCATTAGCTGAATTTGGCATCAGGTGCTCCGTCTGCTCCTATACTTTAAAGCTATACATAATGGCTAAGAAAAGTCTAACTCCTCCCAAGGAAAGGATTGCGAGGAGGAGACAGATTCAGACCATTCTCATAATAGCTTATTGATGGGATGCTGCTTTTGTAAAGAGTTGTACATTTGCAACCATTTATTCTCTGTTGAGTTGGAATCCTAATGTATTATGTAAAAGTTGGGCTACTCTCCATCAATAATGTGCCATCATTATCTCAACAGTTAGTATGCTGGTCTGAATCCAGAATCTGGAGCAGAACTCTGTGAACTGCAGAAGAGAGGAAAGCAATTCACACCAATTCCTCCATCCTCTACCTCTCTCAAAATATGATGGGGGGAGGTGAGGTTGGAGGATGCTCCAGTTCAGTGTGAGGTGGTTGTCTCTGCCAACATAAGAGGTCATTTCATTCATAGAGGGTCAGATTTAGATCCAATCCATTGACTCTCAGATTTTAAACAGTATTTTTCATAAATGTTTTGACAGAGATACATGACAAATAGAAGCAGTGCAATCTAGTGAATCCCTGAACATTTTGTGAGCATTCATACGCATTTGCCACTTTTCTTCCTTTTTCAGATCTGTGTCTTCTAAAAAAAAAAACCAAACTGGGACATGTTTCACTAGAAATTGAAACTTTGAAACACTACATCTTGAAAGGTTAAGATGTTACCTTTTCCCTCTGATTGCATTTTGCAGTTTCAGGTTTGAACATTGTACTCTAGTAACTTAATTACAAAATGAGTTAATGCTTTATGAAGTTAACTTCATTCTTAATTAAACTATGTAGAAAATAAAATATGCTACTTTCCAGTTATGGTACATTAATATAAAGTTTCAGCACAGTGCAACATCCTCTTCAGTTCCATCACTGAGGTCTAGTATTTAATCAAGTTTATCATAAATCACTTGCTTTCAGAATGGTTTGGCTACCCTAATTAAGTTTTCTTTGAGTTGAAGTTGACTCCTGGTGACTTCATAGGCACATCCATGTAGTTTTCTTGGCAACAATACAGAGTTAATTTACCATTTCCTTCATCCATGATGTTTTTTCCATTTCCCAGCCACAAAGCTTTTCCAAGGACTAACCATGTCTAACTTCTGAGCCCAGAGAAGGGTGGCCAGATGCTGCCATCTGCTTAGAGCTACCCTAATTAAATCAATAGGAAATGAACCCCAAGAAGAAAAATGTATTAATTCCATATTTAAAGCCCTCTTAACACTAACATTGAATTGTTGGTCCCATAAACTGCTTTCTGTTATTCTTTGACCATTTCCATTCAGAAGTTTATTCAAATGGCTGATGTTGCCTTTACTAGTATGTCTTAAATGTTAGAAGAGAAAGAGATCAGCAGCTCCACTATTCGTTATAGCAATGCTAATTTTACCACCCATTTTTTCAGTGTATTTCCTTTGGACCCTGATATAATATGGGAGAAAAATATATCATTGATACATTTAGGTATAACACTTTAAAAAGTGGTTTTGTGCAACCATATTTCAGAATTCCAGTTTGCCAGCTAACAAGAGCATGCAAATTGCAATTTGCCTTTGAGTCCTTCCAATTAGCAAGATATTTTTTAAAAAGTACTCTACATTTGGCATATTTGTGCATGGGATGTAAGCCACCAATTTATAAGTTGTCTCCAGGCTGGTACTGTGGTTCCGTAGCAGTAAAATAATCTTCTAAGAAAGACTGAATATATTCAAATGTTGGCCTTTCATCAGGATCTTTCTTCCAACACAGTTTCATTAATTCATGAAGAGATTCTGGGCATCCCTGAGGACAAGGCATTCTGTAGCCACGTTCTACTTGTTCTAAAACTTCCCGATTTACCATTCCTAAAATTAAAATAATAGGTTTAATATTTATATTTTATCAACATGGAAGATTTTTAAAAGCTGTTAAGTATTTTACCTGGAACGAGTATATGTTGCATTCACACATAACATTAATGAATTTTTAAATCATGGTTTGCTGAACAATCCCAAACTACAGATTGTTTTGGGGAAGTCAACCATGGTTTGAAACCACAATTTATTTTTGGCTTATTGAATACAATAGTGGCTTAATGTAATGTGTCCATATGTTATTTTCCAGATTATTTTTGTGCCTCATCTAAGATTCTCCAAAGAGATGTAAGAGAAGAACAATGAGTAGAAAGCAAACTAGGAATTGGCTGTATAAAATTATTATTTTGCTCATCTGTAAGATTAGCTCTGGCTTCCTTAACCACCCATGATCTGGCATACGGTCTGTTATTTATGAACACAGCAAATTTGATGTTCTAAAATAGTGTGTCTCCACATGGTTTCTAAAATGTTGGACTACAGCTTCCACAACATTGCTAGTTTGTATTTATCATAGTTTGTATTTGTCATATCTTAAATATGACATTAGGTATAATGCAATTTGTTTCATCAGAATACAGGCAGTCCCCAGGTTAAGAATGTCCGACTTATGGACAACTCATAGTTACGAATGGGGCCGCCTGTACTTAAAATGGTGGACAGCTGACCAGCAACGTGATCCGACTCAAAATGGCGGACGTGTTCTCCTTCCTCGAGCTGACAAACTGCTGAAGCTGCACAATGCTTTCATGAATTGCTGAAAACAGGCCGTATACAGTACTGTATTAAAAGTGCATGCACTACTTAGTGATGCTCATGAAAGCATCGCATGGCTTCAGTGGTTCATCAGCTCAAGGAAGGAGAATGCAGTCCACCATTTTGAGTCAGATCACTTTGCCTTCAGGACGGTGAGAGACTGAATTCCAGTGGGTTCTCAAGTCAGTGAGAGATATAATTCCAGTGGGTTCTCCTTGAATTGGGTTCTTGCTGGAAGTCTATCTCTCACATAACTCAGTTTTAAGGTATAAAACTTAAAGTTATAAATTTAAACTTTAAAAAAAACTTCGTAAACAGCTTTGTTGTTGTTGTTCATCCCTGATATGCAAAAGTACAGGTAGTCTTTTTTATATACATATTCCAGCACAACTAGCTTGGACAGAAAAAGCAGGGATGAATAGGAGGTTTAAAGCAGTGATTCTCCGTGGAATCTTGTATTTTCACTGTGAAGAAGATGCTTGAGTACACATATACATGTGCTGGTATCCCACTTTGCTGTAAACCATCTTTTGATTGCTATCAATTTATTAATCTTTGCTGTAATTAGTCACTTATCTATCGACTTTTCAATGTGAGAAGTTGACTCAGCATATTAATTCTGAGGCCTGTCCTGCTTTATAGATGCCTCCATTCATTGTCTGCCTTATGTTCTGGGCAGAATTCCCTTTGATTCTTCTCCTACTTGTAAAAGAATTTTGATATGACCTGGGCTTGAAAGAACCATTAAGGAGGAACTTAGAAAAGTGATTACACAGGCCAGAGGTTGAAGACACGTTCTTTTTCTGAAACTACTATGTTCAAATAGAGGGCTCTATATCCATGTTCTTTTTTTCGAAGGTCTTTGCAATTCCAGTTTGATATTGGAAGAACCATCTTCAATTGTACAGCTAGATTATAGCCAGAAAGTGTTGTTGATCTCCACTTTACAGCAAAGAAAAATCTGTCAAACAAGTTGGAACTCAACACAGAAATAGTAAACACTACAGGTAACTAAATTTTGGTTTGAAGAAAAGTCTGTATTTAAAACTCATAAAGATAAGTTTTGAACTGTCAGAGTGACCATATAATTTTATTGCCATTTTGAGTTGTATCATGTTCCCATTTTTCTCTGACTACAGGTATTTACCATGCCTCTGAAGCAAAAATGTGATTCAAGTGCTGGTGATGCATCAAAGAAAAGGAAAATGATCACTGTTGAAAATAAAGTGGAAATAATAAAGTGTTCAGAAAGAGATGAAATGCCATTGGACACTGGAAAAGCATTGGGCTACAGTCGGTCAATGATCGGAACAATTTAAAAGGATAAAGTAAGAATAATGGAGTGTGTGAAAGGCCCTGCCTTGATGAAAGCCACAAATATTATTAAGCAATGCAGTGGTTTAAGCAATGGAATGGAAAGGCTATTGATAATTTGGTTAGAGGGTCAAAATCAGCGTCATATTCCTATTAGCCTCACTTTCCTACAAGAAAAGGCTTGAAGCCCTTTCAATGACTTAAAAGCTACATGTGCAGCAAGTAGAGCGAGTGAAGGTGATTTTGACGAAGCATTTTTTGAGAGTAGGGGTTGGTTCAATTGTTTCAAAGTGAGGGCAAATTTATGTAACATTAAAGTGCAGGGTGAAGTAACAAGTGCTGATGAAAGTGCTGTGTGCAATTTTCCTGACACGTTTAAGGCAATTATTGAGGAGGGAGATTATTTGCCAGACCAAATATTTAATGTAGAAGAGCACGGCTTATTTTGGAAAGAAATGCCTGAAAGGACATATATTTCAAAAGAGTAAAAAAGTGCACCGGGGCATAAGGCATCAAAGGATAGGCCAATGTTATGCTTGGGAGTAACACACCAGGGAATTTCAAGCTCAAGCCTTTGCTTGTTTATCGCTCCCTAAATCTGAGGGCACTTCGCCATAACATTAAAGCATCTCTTCCCATGATTTGGAAGCAAATGCAAAGGCTTGGGCTACAAATGCCATTTTTCAAGATTGGTTCTTGAACCATCTTGTCCCTGCTGTTGAACGTTATTGCTTAACCAGGCAAATTCTGTTCAAGATTCTTCTTGTGCTTGACAACGCACCTGAACATCCAGGCACTTTAGATGACCGTCACCCTGATATAAAGGTGGTATTTTTACCCCCCAACATCACATTGCTACTTCAGCCAATAGATCAGAGATAGCCTCCTTCAAGGCCTATTATTTATGGTGGACCTTCTCATGAGCAGTCAGGGCTACCCACATCCCAAGATGTGATGAGTTTAAGGGAGTTCTGGAGGAATTATATCATCTATGATCCCATCAAAAATATTGCTGATTCTTGGGATGAAGTGAAGCAGTCAAATATGAAGGGAATGAGGAACAAATTGTGCCCCCAATTTGCGCATGTTTCTCAGGAGTGTATAACTGATGACATCGCCGAAGCCAGGCAAGCTGTGGTTGATGTTGGTTATCAACTCCAATTAGACGTTAATGAAAATGATGTTGTACAGTTACTCAACCCCCATGGTAAAGAACTGACCAATGAAGACCTTATGGAACTAGAGCAGCAGATGATAGTGTGTGATGGAATGGAATTATGAAGGCCAGGCTCAGGGAGATAAGCGTTTTCTTAGCTCACCGCAAGGGCGTGGGAACTACAAGAGGATGAGGCTGGCACCTCCCTGAGGAATTCACAGTGTTATGGCTGGCTGGCTCGGGAGCTGGGGTTTCAGTCTGGGAAGATTCTTGTCAGGCCTAGCCCAAAGAACTCCAAGAGACAATGCAAAATCAGTTCAGCTATGTTTATT